TGTGAATATCTTGTTAAGTTCCTTTTCCAACCTTATATTGAGGACCGTTGGTTTACAAGAAAGGAACTTCTCAAGTCTGCAAATTCAGTTGTGCGGTTCTACGAGTCTGAGCAAAGTGGGAAACTGCCCAGGCGGTCTCCTCGTGGACACTCTACCTCGGGGTCCTCGCTCCTCGGGAGGGTAGGTATGCAAGGATTCAGAATTGCAGTGCTACAAGCGGCCTGTATACTAATTTTGTCCCTGTTGTCGTTGTCAGGGCTTGATCCCGCAACCTTTGTCTGTCGTGTTGCCTGTTTGCCTGCTGTTTGTTTGTTTTGAGCGTTGCGGGACTCGATCCTGTGACTTGTAAACTTGTGTGTGTTTTGTTTGTGAGTGTTGCGTCCCCTGGGACTCGATCCCTGAGTCTGTCACCAGTGGTCTCTATGTGGTAGTCTTAGGCCATCGGCCTTTTCTTTTGCCTTGTCTTAGGTCTAGGACCCCTTTTCCCGGATTTCCGTCCCGATACAGATGAGTTTTGGGCTGTTGCCTGGGGAATCCCTGGTAAGTCTAGTCCGTGAGTCTAGAAAGTAGCGGGAGGAAAATAGAGTTGGGCTGGGCTGATTTCCCGGGCGCCCGGGTCCCCAGACCACGCCCGGAATGGCGCCCGGGTGCCCGGCCGGGCATGAGTCCCTGGCAGGCCCCCGGGCGCTCTGTGCGGCATTAAAAGAAAAAATTGGAAAAAGCTGCTGGGGAGGGCCTGGGGCGCAGAACTGTCGTCAGGTCCAAAAAAAAATAAAAAAAAATTACTATGTTTTTTCTCACGCCCGGTTGACCCGGGTGTCGGACCTGCCTGGGTGCCCGGCCGGGGGTGACAAGCTGGGTGTGGAAATCTTCCTAGGAGTTGGGGGGGGTCTTTTGCATCTCGTTTTCACTGGGGAAACTCTGCCCGTGCCCGTCCGTTGCTGGAGCGTTGCTGCACTATTTTGGGCGAGGTCATCTTCTTCCTCAAAGCCCAGCCATAGCTGGGGTTGGGAAACGAAGTTGAAGATTGCACTGCTGCTATTTCACAGCTCTGCATGAGAGCTTCCACAGGACTGTGTTGTTGGGTTTGGGCGCTGCCATTTTCCACTTGGCAGCAATATCTGCAGTTCCTCCTCACGAGGAACTTCATCTTCACCTTCTTCGAAGTGCTGGATCGGTTGTCTCCTTCTTCGTCAGGACTTCCAGCGCTGCACTTCCGTGCGGGCGCTGAGCTGGCGCTGCTATCATTGGGGTTGCTGGTTGAGATTGGCACGTTGTGACAGCTGTGGGGTTACTGCTGCTACGGCAGCCATAGCCAGGGGTATGAGGTGGCAAGGAGGAAGAAGAAAGAGGAAGAAGAGGACTCCTGCATACTTCGTTCAAAACAGTTGTTTCTGGTTGTTTGGGGTAACCGTTTTTGTAAACGCAGTTGTGATTCTTGGAACAAGTACTCTGGATTGATTGGAGGAGGACGGGGGATCACAGAATTGAAAAACGTTTTTCAATTCTCTGTGTATTTTGAGCTTCCGCTGCGCAGATTTTCTCTCCGGTTTTGTGTGGATTTGTCTCCTTCGAGTCTACTCTGCAATTGCATGCGTGTATGGGAATGTGTGAATTCGTTGTGGATTGAAGTTCAATCAGGTACATAACACCTGCATGACAGGTAGGAGTGCATGCTCTTATCATCACTCCTGTCTGTTGTCGCGGGTGTGTTTTCCTATTAAAAAGAAAGAAAAATAAGGTCCTCCTACGACCAGACGCCTTGACTTTGTGCAATCGTAGGTCCATCAGCTCACTGTGGTTGCGCCAAACCAGACCGGAATCCTTGGCCTCCTCGAAGAGATTTTTTTTTTTTTTTTTTTTTTTTTTAATTTATATAATATAGAGATGTGTTGAATCCAGGAGCTGTCAGAATGTAGGACCTGAGAGCACTCCCGACTCTCCCACCTGAAGTTCTTCATTTCGAAGAGACCTTGTGACCAAACTCCGAGTTCCGTCAGACATTCAGGAGTAGAGCTGGATGGGACAACATACTTGTGTCAGAATACGCCACACTGAACCTGGCGGGAAGCCGCACATTTTGGAAATCTGAGAGCACCCCCTTCAGGAGTGCAGTGTAGCGGCACTCTCACACGGGATCTCCTCTCCCAGAGCACTCCGTGAATTTGGGAAAAGTTATAACCTCCCCCAGCGACGAAACCTTTGTACTATGAAACCGTATGAGCACGCGTGCTTAAGCGTGCGCTTTATCCCCCCCGCCCAGCGCTCAAAGCGCTCAAAGCGCTTTAAAATAAAAAAAAATAAAAATAAAAAAACGTGTGCACTTGAGGGGGTTGCGCGGGAAAAAAAATAGGGGGGTGGGTGTGATTTTTGGTGGGGAGGGAGGTTGGTTGGTTGGGGGGTTGGGGGGGTGGTGGGTGTGTGTGTGTGTGTGTGTGTGTGTGTGTGTGTGTGTGTGTTCACGTGTGTGTTTGTGTTTGTGTTTATGTGTATGTGTGTGTGTGTGTGTGTGTCTGTGTGTGTGCATGTGTGTGCGTACGTGTGTGTGTTTGTGGGGGGGGGTTGTATGTGTGTGTGTGTGTGTATGCGTACGTGTGTGTGTTTGTGGGGGGGGTTGTCTATGAGTGTGTTTTGTTTTTT